TTGCGTAATCAGTATGGAATTTCTGCCCCTGAGTCGCAGACGTTCCTCCGTGCGAAACGTCCCCAGCGGCGAAGAGCAAGGAGAAACGGATGTTTTCGCAGGCTATCAATTCTCAAAAACGTAGTTGCCGTAAAATAGAGAGCTTTAGATTTGAGAACGAGTACGACTGCGAGTACGAGATTTTCTCAGTACTAAGTAGTGCGCGCGCGTGAACCAGAGTCATTTTGGCGGGAAAACGTGATAGTCGTCTTCATTCTACTACGAGTTTTAGAGAGAATGTCGTGTTAGCGGACACAGTTGCAGCACGGAGATAATTCAGTTAATTCATTCTTAGCCTAAACTCCCCTTTTTTGTTTATAACAATGCTGGGGTTAAAAGGCGTCCAATCAAAAGCCCATTTTTTTTTGCCCAAATATGGAATCAGAGAATTGAAAGAATCCGTGTCTAAAAATAGCTAAAAAGAGGAAGATTCTTCCAATCCTTTACAATTCTCCAGTTACATGCAAAACTCAAAATTACACGCTGAGCGTTTCAGATTTGCTATATGATAATCACCAGACAAAAAAAATTACATCTACAGGCAGTGGAGCCGACAAGTAATAATTTTCTTTGCTAAGACTTTCCGACTGCTAAGACTGTCGCGCGAATGCTTAGGAAAAATTTGTATTGCGATGTAAACGGTGCGCTACGAAGACCAATTACAGTTTCACTAGTTTTACGAAGTAAAATTCGACCAAAATCGGAATATTATTCCCAGAATGGCCAGGATTGACTTCCCTCTGACAAGACAACGTCGGCTACTTATAGGAAGCATCTTAGGTAAATTTTGTTTGGTTCACCAAAAAAAGACCCTGAAATCCTCATCAGTAACTTTAACGCCTGGGCCATTACAGATTTGACTTTGGTATAGGTAGGCGACCATCTGTTACTAGGTTAAAACCAAACCTGTGAAACTGATTCTTGTGGTTTCTTCGTACTTAGCCCAAAAGTGTCTGTCAGTGATGGAATTTCAGCCCGGCGCCGTTGGAATTTAATTCAAAGCATATTAAATCATCACTTAGAAGTTATTCTCTTTCATCTGGGAAATTAGTTGCTGGTAGATGTTAACGATCTACTTGAGATTGTGGGTCTATCAATTCTAGCGTTCCCTTTTCCCTTCTGTTCCCGTTGCTTTGACAAAGGAGTGTAGTTTGGTTACCTAAGTTTGCTCCCCTTGTTTGTCTAAAACCTGAGGGAAAACCTTTTTGGGGCGAATGCAGGTAGATTATTCATTGCCTTTTCGTTTTCTCGACACAAAATTCTAAAACACGACAATGGAGGTCATACCTGGTATTATTTAATTCAATGAAACGCGATGCACGAAAGGCTTGGCACTCGCATTTTTTCGTTCGTCCATCAAATAAAAGAAAAAAAGATAAAGACGGCAATAAACAATTTAAATGCGGTGAATCTGTACATTGTTATAACCCCTTTGTGCTTTTTTTGATAGTTGGTCTTTTGGTGTTGTTCTTTGGGAGATGGCTACATTGGGTAAGCGGATCATTTTACGGTTCATACTTATCATTTTAAACTTAAAGTTAATTGACAAAAGGACAAAAATTTTCCATGGTATGTAACTCTTATACTATAAAAATGACAATTAGAAACTCAGGTGGAGCCATGCACGACCTGCTGGAGAAAGACGTCACTGCAAAGTTTGACCGTTATATATTTTGACGTCATTCTAGGGTCGATAAGAGAACATTATCATAGACAATGAATATTGTCGATTTGTTTGTTTGTCTTTTCTTGCAATAAAATTGACAGTTCATTTTGGGTTTCGTTTCCGATGATTTTAAATAAATTTCGCCATCCGTCACATTGTCGACCAAGCAGCGCCGTTTGAAAAATTGTTTTGACTGCTATCGTAAAATTTTGTCAAACATTAACGCATCCAAGGAACCCTGTTCCCCTTTTTTGCCATGGTGGGATGTGACTTAACTTGTATGATTGTTATTAAGGTTATTGCTACCAGGAAACAAGCTGGTTTTTCTTTAGCGTAATGTTTCATTTGCGGCAAGCTGGACTTTTTGTTTTGTCTGATCTGAGCTCTGTTAATTTTAAGTGCTGTAAGACCTCTCCTCAGGATGAAAACTATATGTGAAAATGGATTGTATTTGCGAGCATTGAAAGTTACGGGGAAAAAAAAAGCCATATTATTAAGCACCTGCTTTCTTTTTAACACATTTGAGTGCATTGGCCATCAGACCACCATTCAAAGAACATTTTTTTGCAAAATGTCATTATTGAATATGGGGATAATAGCATCTTGAATATAAGTTATTCAATAATATCTTACTGATCAGTTGCCGATATGTAATTATTATATTTTTCTTTCTCGCAATCGCCAGGAGGCGTACCATATCCCACGCTGACCAACTCAGAGCTGTATCGACTGCTCAGTACAGGTTATCGCATGGAAAGGCCTGACATGTGCACCGATGACGTGTACGTTTCTTGATCAGGGTCGTCTTAGAATTAACAATTAGATTCAACTTAAGTTTTCCGTGCCTTTGTTCAGTTACAATTCACAGCGAACGTTGCAATGTACGAATTCGTCAATTATGTTAACGCCCTCTATGATCATATCAAATACTGACCAGACGGACGGCAAGATTAAGGGTAAACATTTGTTGGGATCCTCACTTTTTTAACAAGGAAACAACTAGACCACATTTTCAAAACCATTTTTCATTTCAGATAAAGCAGATAACACATTGTAAGTTTTGCTCTAAACCCTCCACGCTTTATGGCCAATAAAGGCACCATTAACAGTGATTAAGTTATTATAATCTCTTCCCTGGGGCCGGGGGAGTACTCCCTATAATGGTCTGTAAGGGGAGGCTCCGCCCGAAAGGGGTACCTTTCTCAGTCTTCTCGTACAGAAATTTCGCTAGTCGAGGTATATGAAAGGGTATTAGGGAATTCTGTCATTTCGGTCTGTAAAATGACCTAAGAGGGCTACAGAAGGATTTTTTGGCTGTGAAAAAGTCGAGAAAGTTTTGTAGTCTAGTGATTTAACTCATATTTAAAAGGAGGTGCTTTTACAGCTGTTAAAAGGGATAAAACGTTCTCTGGACTAGATATGTGAAAGGGGTACAGTGCCACTTATCAGTAGAATGTATAGGAAAGAGGTACCTTCTCTGTCCAAAAATAATGATAATACAAAATAGTAAGGGGGTGGATCTCTGGGCGGAGCCTTCCCGGATCTCTTTACAAAATAATGGGTGGATGAAAGAATGGGGAATCACGAGATAACCCAAAAGTTCTAGGGGCCCATGTTATTGGGCTTTACGTGGAAGCTTCACCCAAAAGGAGTGCCTTTTTATGCCACATTTGCGTGGAAAGATACGAATTTCACGAGTATATAATGTGTGAAATGGTAGGAAACTTTTCAACTTCGGTAATGTACATTAAAATATATTTTAAACAGATGCACCTTCTATTGTATACTTGATGTTTCCCTCAAAGGCTTAAGAAAATGAAGTAGTCGTACTATTTTTCAGGGTAGGCAGGTAAGGAATGTATATGAAAGGGGTACCTTTACGGTCAAAAATGCTGTATAAAAGGCGTTGGACCTCAGGGTGGAGCCTCCCTGTAAACTCATGAAGCTGAGAGGCCTTTCCTACTGAAAAAATTTCTTTCATCCAATAGACCCCTTTCGCTTGTATATTTTGTTTGCCAATACAGGTCATACAGGTCATGTGATAATACTCCAAGGAACTGTTTCTTTCAAATTTCGTGTTATTCCAGTGCATATGTAAGCATAGTAGACAAAGGGTCAAATTCCCCTGGGACCTCCATTGGGAAAACAAAACATACGAGCTATAAAGTGGCTTATATATTGACACGGTCTAATAATTGACTGGAGCTCTAGTTAATTAGCATTGAATGGTTCTATTTTTTTCCTATTCATAACAGATATGAGCTGATTTCTGACTGTTGGGAGGAAGACCCTTACATTCGTCCCAGTTTCTACCGTTTGATCGAAAAACTGGAGGCGATAATGGAAAGGGATGCACCATATTTGAATGTAAACAAACACAATGAAGATCGTCCGTATTACAACGTACCTCCTTTAGCTAGTGCTGATTGATATGGAGAAGAAGGAGCATCCCCAATAATCGGACAGTTTAAGACGGAACGAGTATAAACAGTAAATTCATAGATATTTACTTAAAAACTAAGCTAAGAAAATACTGAAAGAATTAAAACAAACATAAAAAGAGCTTTAAGTGTAAAAAAAAAAGTGTAACAGTAAGGCCCTCTAGGTCTAATCAGGAGCCCATCATCCAGGAATGTAAATCTCCCTTATAGAGTGTTAAGATTTTTACTTGGCTAGTATAGACTAATCTTTCACGCAGAAAAAAAGGGGGACTAAGTAGGATTTCCAGCAACCAGCGTGTGCGATCAAAGAAGTATAAAGCTAGAAACGTAAAGCTATTAACAGTGATTAAGGTTTTAACTGAATGACGAGCCTTAAAAGTTAGCCACTAACAGAGAAGATAGCTGAAGATCAACTGTCATGTTGGATTTCACCGAGGTTTTTAGTGCAAGGCGAATTTTTCGTAAACGATTGTATTTATTACTGTCAGTAGTGAAAATTATAAACGGAGAGGTTTAAACAAGAATCTAGGGATTACATAATTAACTATTGTTTTAATGCTTTGCAAAATGCTTATTAGATATAGACTGGCTGAAATACATGTAACGCTATAAGTATTATTAAAATAACATTGTTCCGCACTAGACTTGCTTTATACTTTGGCATTTCTCATTTCAAATTAGTGATCGTCATGTAAATGGTTTGACCAATGAATGACTGCATGACCTGATAAGCCATTAACGTCGTGGTACTCCTTTGGTTGTCCGTCAGTTTAAGCCATGGTGCCTCAGGGTCATTTAAAAAAAAAAACAACAACAACAACAAAAAAAAAACAGACCGTCGACCTTTGTCATAGTTATATCTCAGACTCGTACCCAGCTCTATTTATATGTTTTGGGGTTGAGAGAAGATTGGGGGTTAGGTTAAGGGGCGGGCGGGGTCTCCCCTGATGGGAAGGGACGAAGAAAAAATAGCGGCGCTATTTTTCCTTCGTGCGAAGTGTTAAAGTGCTGGCCCCAGTTGTTCAAAACGTGGATAAAGCAATCCACTGGTTATAAATCTCTATCTAGTGGATAACGCAATCATTTTCCCTAATACTTATCCACTGGATAGTGATTTATCCGGTGGATAGCGCTATCCATCGTTTGAACAACCGGAGCTTGGTCGGCGAGAGAGAATTTTTTCTCGCAGCTTCGCGACTCGCTTTCGCGGGTTCCAATGGGAAAAAAACCTCTGGCACCCTGTGTGGTGAAAGACCAAATAACGTTTTGCAAAGGCTTTTCTGGGTTAATGGCTGGAAGAAGGTGTTCTAACACGTTAACAATATTTACCTCTTTAAACTATTATTTTTAATAAGTAATTTTCCACTTCTCAGCCCTTATTCCCCGCCAATGCACATATGACTATATTTTGGCTGTCTTATGTATTAGGGAAACTTCAAGGATTCAGCGTAGTCTAAGAAAATAGACTCAACGGAAAATTAAACTTCATTTTCCCACCAGGGCGGGGTTGTTGAAAGGTGGGTTAAGCGAACCCAGGGTTATTGCGAAATTTGAATTCAGGTACGAAAGCTTTAAAAGTAATTCAGTTTAATCCTTTTTGCACGTGATTTTTTAATTGGATACTCTAAAAAGAATAGACTGAGGAAATTAACCCGGAAAATACTTTTTTGACTTTCAAAAAAGTCCTTTGTCCTCTCGTGACCTTGTCGCTCGCTTGGCCGCTTCGCGGCGTAAAATTAAGCTCGGTCCGCTCGCTAAGAAACTCATGAGGCTGACTTGTAGCAAGTCTAAATGCTTTTGAACGACAGGAAAAGAAACGCGGATTAAAAATTAACCCCGGATTAGCACTAATCGGCCTTCGAAGAACTGGGCCCAGAAAATTAGTGACAGTTGTTTTTATTGAAGAAGATTAAGACAACTCAATTGTCGTTGCTTGTCAGTACGTCCTCCATGACACGTGGAATTAGCATGAATTTCTTTTAAAAGGTGGTTGACTGTCAATTTCTATTACGTCAACTTTATTCGCAACGCAATGAAAATTGTCAACCAAGGTCCCAGGCCTCCAGCTCCCAAACTTGGGTATCCTTCCACTCTTGAAGTTAAGACTGAGTAAAATTGTGTTGGTGGATGGAGGTCGTACCATATTAGACGAAGACTGTGGAAGCTCTCTTTTGACAGCTTTAGATTTGGCCAGAAAAAAGCTCGGTTGTTCATTTTCAGGGATGGATGGACTGGACATTGCAGAGAATATACGGGATAACGTCGTGGAAACAAGTGTTGGATCCGGCAGCCTAGAAGTTACAGGTCAGTTTCTTAGGTTGTACAATTTTTCAAAGTGACCCTCTGACAAGAACATCTAAGAACCTCGCTCCCATGGCTTTTACCCTAGAAAATAGGAGATGGAGAGAGAAGGGAAGGAAACAAGGCCTGGGGAGAGGTTGGAAGACCCAATACAATCTATCAAGTGAACGCTCCTCCACAGAGGAACTCTATTCTTGAAAGAAATCTAGCTCTCTATTTATTTTTTGTTACTTAGTAACTTTTTTTCTTATTTATTCCTATTACCCGATTCCTTCTCACGCACGTGACATCGCCGTGCAGTGAGGGTCTTTTGGTTCAGACCCCTACATTAGCCCCCGCAGCAGGCGCCGGTTTGTTTTCTAGGGCGAAGGAAGAAATCTCGAGGACGCGCGAGGGGAGAAAAAAAGAGGAGGCCTCCTCACCCCTTCTCGTGTTGCCCTCGCGCGGCCTTTAAATAAATAGGGACTTTTAGCATCGACAACGGCGACGGCAGCGAAAACGTCAATTTTAGAATGAATTGGCGTTTTTTTCAACTTTGTCGCGTTTATTCAAATTCGCTGAAAATTTCTAATGGAGGCAAATTTCCCTGGAGTTGATTTCTTGAGGACCGCACTCAAGTTTAGAAAAAGAAAGAAAATCTCGTCGTCCCTTGTTTGAGTCTTCTTTAAAACGTGAAATTAGGCATTTTCACGTCTTTTTTGACTTTCTCGTTGCGGTCGCCATCGTTGTTGCTAAAACTCCCTAATAACCGGCACCTGCTACGCAGGGTACCAGTAAATCCACCCATCAGTTTTGAAACGTTTGTAGAATAAGTGAATGATTGCTCTAAAATTTGGGGTCGCAAGTTTAATATAGCTAGAAATTAGCTTGTAACGATTGGAAATCATTAGCTGGGGTAAACAGGCTGGCTCGACAGAGCGAGTTCAAACCGAATCGCTCTCCGTATAAACTAATTAAGGTCAACTTTACACCTGTAATACGGATATAGGTTCAAAGTGCATTATTATGACAAAAATACCAACGGAGACGGGAAGACTAAGGTTGCTGAAGGGG